GCAAGACGTTGTTTTTGTTCTGGTGTGATGTGTGTGTGTGTGTGTGTGTGTGTGTGTGTGCGCGCTGAAACATAAAATACGTTATTTTTTACTTTTCTTAGTTTCAGACGAGGTAAACCTGTAAATAGAGTACTATCAAAACTGCATTAACAAGCTATATAGATGATCAGTGTTGACTGCAATGATGTTTTCAGGGACATGAAACTAAATTACGGGGACAGTATACTTATACATCTAATGGATCGAGATGAAATACCAATTGATTCTGCTTTTAGTTTGAAATGATAAACAATAAAGGAGTTATGATTTCGATATTCGTTTACAGTTCTTGTCAGTAGATGTGATACTATACTATAACAGTACCAACCTTTCTCATCGACCTCCTCATTCTGTGACAAGATTTCTGAAAAATAGAAGATAATTTGTTTGAAATATATGTTCATATAAGAAAAAAGGTCTTTATTTAGGAACTGAGATTTAAGTGTAGATAATTGTTATTGTACAATTGTATATTGACATGATCGTGATCTATTTCATGTTTGATCACTCCATTTCATTTTCTTGCTTTCCAACATAAGTGAAAACAAAGAATTTGTAAAGCCTTTCAGGGTTGACAGACGCGCAGCGTTGTCCTTCCCAGGACACTCTAAATCCGGTTCTGTATCATCGACAAATCTATATAAATCTGAATAATCGGTCCTGTCTAAAATTGTGTCAATGCAACATGGGTTGTTTGTCTTTTTGTCTCCGTTTTTCTTTATTATCAAAATTATCTAAATAATAGTTGAAGTATTTATGGAATTGGAGTGTAGATATATTTGAAATTCATATTTTTTACATAACATTATTGTAATCTGTTTGAGTAAATCAATTACAGAATCAATATAGATTAGAAACTGACATACATCTTTTCTGAAACAAAACAACCAACATTACTGGAAATAAGATTACATTTCTTATTTGTGTATGTGAATGTTTGTGTGCGTGCGTGTTATTTGTGTGAGTGTGTATGTGTGTGTGTGTGTGTGTGTGATACAAGCACACACATTAGTTACATAATTTATAAACCATATAAACAAACATCACTTTGTTAATGTTTAGCACAACATTTATAGCATCAACAGTACAATTAATTTTAATTGATATACAACACAAACTTCAATTGATATACAACACGAACTACAATGGATACAAATTACAAACTATACTTAATGCACAACACAAACTATAATTGATATATAACACAAACTATACTTAATGTACAACATAAACTAGTAATGACATACAACACAAACTACAATTAATATATTGTTTATTTAGTATACGTCAACTGGTTGTTAATATATATATAGTTATTCAATTGACTTTTTTGGAAGCAAACTATTATTATTTACAGTGACAAAATCTTAATTTTAGTCCATAATCATTCGCTACCACCAGACAATATTATTAACCCCTTCACATTTCCACCGAACAGTTTAATATCTCTTTCAATCTTTAACCATCCGTCACCACCAGACATTCTAGTAACTCCTCGACTGTTTCTTTTAGTCCTTAACCATCTTAACCTTAGTAGTAACCCCTTCACCAGTTTCCATCACCATTCATCACCTTCCCACGTGACAACTGGCGGAGGAGGTGTCCCTTTCACTTCTTCTTGTTCTCGTGAGTCTGTTGAGTCGACTGACGTTGATGTCTGTGGTCGCGACGGCATTGCTCTTTTATACGTAAATTTCTGGGGTTCAACTACAACTGGCTTAGGTTGTATAACTGTAAAATTAGCCTACATGGATCACGTCTGTTTACTAGACAAACAAAGTACGTTTTCTAAAAATAAACAATACAATGTAACAGAAAGAGATAGTGTGGTCAGCAAATCCCTGACGAATACATGTAACTTTTTAAAGAATTTGATATGTGAAAACCAAATGTATCTAGAGCTGAATATAATTCTTAATATGACGAAAACACTTTAACGCGGTGCGGAAATTCAACTTTTATACGTGGAAAGCGTAATGGTTCAATTAAACAAAAAATACCAGTTGGATTAACCATTTTCATTTTGACTAACTATTGTCACATTGACTAACCATTAACATCTTGACTGGCATTTTTCAATTTGAATAACTGCTGTAGTTTAGTCAACAATTTCCCGCTTTACTAACTGTTATCAACTGTTAGCCAACATCAGTTTCAGTAACAATATTTACTTTGACTAACCCTTTTCAGTTTGACTAACTATTTTTCAGTTAACCATTTTGTGTTTAACATTTTTTCAGTTGGATTAGCTTTATTCAGTTCAGCTAACCACCTTCTATTAAGCTAATAATTTTCAGTTAAGCTAATCTTTTTCAGTTGGACTAATCATTTTCAGGTTAATTAATTTCAGTTACACTATTTTCAGTTTTTAACGAACTATTTCAATTTCAACCGGCCGTATGCAATTCTAGGTCCATGGTTTTAACAGTTGTAATCACGAAGGCCTTGTTTTACCTTTGTCCACAGCTTTAGAGCTCCTACTTCCCATCCTGTCTGGTCTGTGTAATCTGTTGTTGAGATCGTGTCTACATGAAAACAACAAAAGTATGGTATTAAGGAATAGTCATCCTCAGATTACTAGAGTAACTAGAATACTGGAGAATATTATATTTTATTGGTTATGTGGCATTTAAGATACACGGACCTCCCCCCCACCCCTACCCCATCCCCTCCAACCCTCAACCCGCGATCCAATGGTCTCTGAGACTTTACCGCACTACCGGTCAATTTCCTCTCTTCCATCTCTACCTACTCCCTCCCGCTCCAACTAACTACACCCTTCCTCTCAACTTCTCCTCCACACCACCATCCTGTTCTAACTCCTCCTCCACACCGCCATCCTGTTCCAACTCCTCCTCCACATTGAACATCCTGTTCCAACTCCACCTATAATCCCCCTCCCCCCTAACCCCCCCCCCCCCCCCCCAGCAAAACAATTCACCATAAGTTATACAGGCTAAAATTGTATTCTGTGTGTAAAAATATGATAGAGAGATAGGAGGAATGAAAGATAGATCTATTTATATTGGACATCGCATGTGCGACGGGCGATAGTCACATTTTAACATATATCGGAAGTACGTAATATTTTAATTAACTCATGTTCAAGCATATGTAATACACCTGGCAGTAGTTTGTACTAATATAATGTCCGTAATTAATACTTACTTGTGTAAAATTATCCGGGGTGGTTAAGGAAACTGTCTGTCAATGACGACATGATACTTGCTCAGTGTGTCTCTCGCCAAAATTAAAAAAGGAGATCGTAAATATTCAATGAGAGATGATTTCTTCTACATGATAACAAAGCACTGCACACGAGTGTAAATATATACAGGCAGGTACACACATATACATTTTTCGTCCTTAACAATACCAGATCTGCTTCTGTGACGATCACTAGAATGTTTCTGCCACGTGACTTCCACATACAGTTTACCCTTTTGTTCTGAGGTCACGGTAATTTAGTCGAGTCGACGGCATGCTTCTATTGTGTCATTTAAATAGTTCGATACTTTGTTGATAGTATCTTCATAAGTCTTAGTGTCGAAGTTTTAAAAAAACATAAGAGTTATCTCCCCTCCTCTACAGTTACTTCGTAAAGGACACTCGACATCACGTAATGTGGTGATGTAACTTTCTATTTGAGTAATAGGTATTTTGAAGTGGGTTGTAAATTTCTAATCTAATAAACGATAGATATGTACAGCTGAATATGGAAGTCCTCAAATTAAAATCTAATTTCGTATTTTTTTTTAAACGACACGGAATAGTGATTGTATTATAATGGTATAATATACCATAAACAAGATAAAAGTCATTGTTGATAAAAGATGTGCTATTTCTTCACAAGGCAATAATATAAGAAACTATAGTAGTAAGATAATAAAGATCAGATAAGGAATATAACTATCGTAGCCCTTCCTTAGGATTTCCCTAAAAAAACGTTAAAACGCTTATTTCCATGGGGAACAACAGTTGTCAGACCGATCCCAAAACCCGTCAACGGCAACGTGTCAGTGGTAAACCAACTTATTGGGGACGTGGACGTAAATTGGTCGCTCGCAGTCTATTTCTCAGTTTATCGGTGGATTCGACGGTTTCAGTTACCAAAGATATGACATGCCGTTTCGGCTACTGTTAATCTCATGTCACGCATGTGGGCAGGCCTAATGAACTGATCTTGACGTCGCGACGTTACATGTGGACGTCCGGATCTCGGTCTGACATGAAATCTTATCGTGGCGTTGAGACGTAAAAATGATCGATTTGTAAACTCCACAATGAGTAGCGCCCTGCTGTTGAATGCTAATATGCTGATAAGATATATATACACAGATAAATATACCACAAACATCTATCAAGAGGAAAGTATCAACAAGTATCTCCAATAAGTTGGTTAACCACTGACACGTTGCCGTTGACGGCCAGTATGCCCAGATGTTTTTTCTATGAGACGGTGGCCGGTTCATGTTCTTCAAGGATAAACCTCGATTCACGTTATTTCGATATTTTGGCCATCAACGTTTGTACCGGCGTCATACCAACATATCAATATAAAACACCACACAATTTATTAGTGCACACATAGTCATCTACCTTACTTCTATCGACAGAAATATATTATATTACATCACGTTATAGGCACATACATAAACAGACAAATTTCATATATCACCCATGTTTATCTATCAAATGTAATATACAACACGCGTCCATCAGCAAATTGAATATACTACACACATCTACCAGCAGACAAATGTAATATATCACACACATCTACCAACAGACAACAGGGGGGTATGTTGAAAATAAATTTGATATGTCCGCCAAAAATCAAACCTTTTAATATAAAGTCCACAACTTATCAATTAGCCCCCGTACAAATATGTACATGATTCAGTAATTGCTGATACGAGTATGCGATAATATGTCGTTACGATTATTGTTACTGCCAACATTTAAACGCATGGTGTTATTTTAAAAGTATCTGATACTGAGTAACCAAATAATTCAAAATCTGATCTGTATATATTCCATAACTTTAATATATACTCAGCAGGGATCTGTGAATAATACTCGTTGAATGTTTTAATTGTTTCCACAGTACTATATTTTCCCGAGCTTTTAGGAAATCTAATTTCAGGGGGTGCTCCAAAGTCCCTCAAAATAAATTCAGCATCTCTCTCTAAAGTCTCATATTTGCCCACAAAGTCGTATTTAACAATACAGGATGACAAAGAGTCGTGTATCTCTCCCAGTGAGAGTTGAAATGTTGAAGTTTACTATCGGTAATATACTGAACAAATTAAAAAAATGTGACATCGTCTGCTTTCAAAGGTGATTCCTTTGTCACATTTGATCTGTATCGTTTTACAATTTGCGTAGCTATTGGTCGAAATTTCTTTAATCCACTACCCGCAATTTTGTCTCTGTATACAGAAAGAAGTCTTTCAAATGGGTTTCGTACAACAGTGTATTTTTTATATTCCTTAAGAATGCTCTCTCGTTTTTCAGTAGAAAATTCATGGAGGAAATTCATTTTTGACAGATATATATTATGGACGTTGCCGAAATGCAATAAACTGGCGTTGACCTTTCCAGTGAGCGTGATAAAAACAGTTTTCCATTGCGAACAAGCGATTTTAGGAATGTAGCAGAACAGCATTTTGTATTTTTCGTCAACAATCAAATTACTTTGATGGTCTAGTTTCGCTAGGTCATCGCTGTACCGTTCACATTCTTGACGAAGACGTCGCTGTCTGTCTATGTTGTCCTTATCCGCTGATATTGTGATATCATCCTCTTTCTAAAATACATACACATTCAACTGCAAAAGACATAATACACACGGTTTAGAATGCGTTGTGTAACTTTATCCCTCCTGGATCTTCTAATAATGTATTGTTCAGTCAATGGAATTAAGATATTTAAATCAGTTGTCAACAAATGAAAGCCTATATTACGACATGTTTATAACTAGTAAATACCTATATCACGACATGTTCATAACGAGTAAATGCCTATATCACGACATGTTCGTAACGAGTAAATGCCTATATCACGACATGTTCGTAACGAGTAAATGCCTATATCACGACATGTTCATGACGAGTAAATGCCTATATCACGACATGTTCATAACGAGTAAATGCCTATATCACGACATGTTCGTAACGAGTAAATGCCTATATCACGACATGTTCGTAACGAGTAAATGCCTACATCACGACATGTTCATAACGAGTAAATGCCTATATCACGACATGTTCATAACGAGTAAATGCCTATATCACGACATGTTCATGACGAGTAAATGCCTATATCGAGTAAATGCCTATATCACGACATGTTCATGACGAGTAAATGCCTATATCACGACATGTTCATAACGAGTAAATGCCTATATCACGACATGTTCATAACGAGTAAATGCCTATATCACGACATGTTCATAACGAGTAAATGCCTACATCACGACATGTTCATAACGAGTAAATGCCTATATCACGACATGTTCATAACGAGTAAATGCCTATATCACGACATGTTCATAACGAGTAAATGCCTATATCACGACATGTTCATAACGAGTAAATGCCTATATCACGACATGTTCATAACGAGTAAATGCCTATATCACGACATGTTCATAACGAGTAAATGCCTATAACGAGTAAATGCCTATATCAGGACATGTTCATAACGAGTAAATGCCTATATCACGACATGTTCGTAACGAGTAAATGCCTATATCGAGTAAATGCCTATATCACGACATGTTCGTAACGAGTAAATGCCTATAACGAGTAAATGCCTATATCACGACATGTTCGTAACGAGTAAATGCCTATATCACGACATGTTCGTAACGAGTAAATGCCTATAACGAGTAAATGCCTATATCACGACATGTTCGTAACGAGTAAATGCCTATATCACGACATGTTCGTAACGAGTAAATGCCTATATCGAGTAAATGCCTATATCACGACATGTTCGTAACGAGTAAATGCCTACATCACGACATGTTCGTAACGAGTAAATGCCTACATCACGACATGTTCGTAACGAGTAAATGCCTATATCACGACATGTTCGTAACGAGTAAATGCCTACATCACGACATGTTCGTAACGAGTAAATGCCTACATCACGACATGTTCATAACCAGTAAATGCCTATATCACGACATGTTCTTAACGAGTAAATGCCTATATCACGACATGTTCGTAACGAGTAAATGCCTACATCACGACATGTTCATAACTAGTAAATGCCTACATCACGACATGTTCGTAACGAGTAAATGCCTATATCACGACATGTTCGTAACGAGTAAATGCCTACATCACGACATGTTCATAACGGGTAAATGCCTATATCACGACATGTTCATAACGAGTAAATGCCTATATTACGACATGTTCATGACGAGTAAATGCCTATATCGAGTAAATGCCTATATCACGACATGTTCATGACGAGTAAATGCCTATATCACGACATGTTCGTAACGAGTAAATACCTATATCACGACATGTTCGTAATGAGTAAATGCCTATATCACGACATGTTCATAACGAGTAAATGCCTATATCACGACATGTTCGTAACGAGTAAATGCCTATATCACGACATGTTCATAACGAGTAAATGCCTACATCACGACATGTTCATAACGAGTAAATGCCTATATCACGACATGTTCATAACGAGTAAATGCCTACATCACGACATATTCATAACGAGTAAATGCCTATATCACGACATGTTCATAACGAGTAAATGCCTATATCGAGTAAATGCCTATATCAGGACATGTTCATGATGAGTAAATGCCTACATCACGACATGTTCGTAACGAGTAAATGCCTATATCGAGTAAATGCCTATATCACGACATGTTCATGACGAGTAAATGCCTATATCGAGTAAATGCCTATATCAGGACATGTTCATAACGAGTAAATGCCTATATCACGACATGTTCATGACGAGTAAATGCCTATATCGAGTAAATGCCTATATAAGGACATGTTCATAACGAGTAAATGCCTATATTACGACATGTTCATGACGAGTAAATGCCTATATCGAGTAAATGCCTATATAAGGACATGTTCATAACGAGTAAATGCCTATATCACGACATGTTCATAACGAGTAAATGCCTATATCACGACATGTTCATGACGAGTAAATGCCTATAACGAGTAAATGCCTATATCACGACATGTTCATAACGAGTAAATGCCTATATCACGACATGTTCATGCCGACATGTAAACGAATGCCTATATCACGACATGTTAATAACGAGTAAATGCCTATATCGAGTAAATGCCTATATCACGACATGTTCATGACGAGTAAATGCCTATATCGAGTAAATGCCTATATCAGGACATGTTCATAACGAGTAAATGCCTATATCACGACATGTTAATAACGAGTAAATGCCTATATCACGACATGTTAATAACGAGTAAATGCCTATATCGAGTAAATGCCTATATCAGGACATGTTCATAACGAGTAAATGCCTATATCACGACATGTTAATAACGAGTAAATGCCTATATCGAGTAAATGCCTATATCACGACATGTTCATAACGAGTAAATGCCTATATCACGACATGTTCATAACGAGTAAATGCCTATATCACGACATGTTAATAACGAGTAAATGCCTATATCGAGTAAATGCCTATATCACGACATGTTCATAACGAGTAAATGCCTATATCACGACATGTTCATAACGAGTAAATGCCTATATCACGACATGTTAATAACGAGTAAATGCCTATATCGAGTAAATGCCTATATCACGACATGTTCATAACGAGTAAATGCCTATATCACGACATGTTCATAACGAGTAAATGCCTATATCACGACATGTTCATATCGAGTAAATGCCTATATCGAGTAAATGCCTATATCACGACATGTTCATAACGAGTAAATGCCTATATCACGACATGTTTGTGACGAGTAAATGCCTATATCGAGTAAATGCCTATATCGAGTAAATGCCTATATCAGGACATGTTCATAACGAGTAAATGCCTATATCAGGACATGTTCATAACGAGTAAATGCCTATATCAGGACATGTTCATAACGAGTAAATGCCTATATCAGGACATGTTCATAACGAGTAAATGCCTATATCAGGACATGTTCATAACGAGTAAATGCCTATATCGAGTAAATGCCTATATCACGACATGTTCATAACGAGTAAATGCCTATATCACGACATGTTTGTGACGAGTAAATGCCTATATCGAGTAAATGCCTATATCGAGTAAATGCCTATATCAGGACATGTTCATAACGAGTAAATGCCTATATCAGGACATGTTCCAATCACTTACCTCTTTTCTGATGTCGTCTGGATAATTCTCCTCTGCCCTCGGTACTCCATGCCAATCCTAACAACGTACAAAACAGAAATTATAAATGTTTTAACATGCTTTACTACCTTTTGGTTGGCGTTTATGGCGCTTTTTTTATCGTTATTCTTCACTAGCGATACGATGTAATTTGTAAAACAAGTTCATTAAAATTGAGGACAGAAAACTACTTCCTTGAAAACCGTTTAACGTCCAAAAGCCATCTGTCCATCAGAATTTTGTACAAAATTGATGATACCTACGTTTTTGCGTTGGCTGGTTTATCCGATCTCTTGGTGTTGGCTGGTTTGTCCGATCTCTTGGTGGTGGCTGGTTTATCCGATCTCTTGGTGTTGGCTGGTTTGTCCGATCTCTTGGTGTTGGCTGGTTTGTCCGATCTCTTGGTGTTGGCTGGTTTATCCGATCTCTTGGAGGTGGCTGGTTTGTCCGATCTCTTGGTGGTGGCTGGTTTATCCGATCTCTTGGAGGTGGCTGGTTTGTCCGATCTCTTGGTGGTGGCTGGTTTGTCCGATCTCTTGGTGTTGGCTGGTTTGTCCGATCTCTTGGTGGTGGCTGGTTTATCCGATCTCTTGGTGGTGGCTGGTTTGTCCGATCTCTTGGTGGTGGCTGTTTTGTCCGATCTCTTGGTGTTGGCTGGTTTATCCGATCTCTTGGTGTTGGCTGGTTTGTCCGATCTCTTGGTGGTGGCTGGTTTGTCCGATCTCTTGGTGTTGGCTGGTTTGTCCGATCTCTTGGTGGTGGCTGGTTTATCCGATCTCTTGGTGGTGGCTGGTTTATCCGATCTCTTGGTGGTGGCTGGTTTGTCCGATCTCTTGGTGGTGGCTGGTTTGTCCGATCTCTCTAAATGTTGGCTGGTTTGTCCGATCTCTTGGTGGTGGCTGGTTTATCCGATCTCTTGGTGGTGGCTGGTTTATCCGATCTCTTGGTGTTGGCTGGTTTGTCCGATCTCTTGGTGGTGGCTGGTTTGTCCGATCTCTTGGTGCGGGCTTGTTTAGCCGATCTCTTGGTGGTGGCTGGTTTATCCGATCTCTTGGTGTTGGCTGGTCTATCCGATCTCTTGGTGGTTGCTGGTATGTCCGATCTCTTGGTGGTGGCTGGTTTATCCGATCTCTTGGTGGTGGCTGGTTTGTCCGATCTCTTGGTGCGGGCTTGTTTAGCCGATCTCTTGGTGGTGGCTGGTTTATCCGATCTCTTGGTGTTGGCTGGTTTGTCCGATCTCTTGGTGGTGGCTGGTTTGTCCGATCTCTTGGTGCGGGCTTGTTTAGCCGATCTCTTGGTGGTGGCTGGTTTATCCGATCTCTTGGTGTTGGCTGGTTTATCCGATCTCTTGGTGGTGGCTGGTATGTCCGATCTCTTGGTGGTGGCTGGTTTATCCGATCTCTTGGTGGTGGCTGGTTTGTCCGATCTCTTGGTGTTGGCTGGTTTGTCCGATCTCTTGGTGTTGGCTGGTTTGTCCGATCTCTTGGTGGTGGCTGGTTTGTCCGATCTCTTAGTGTTGGCTGGTTTATCCGATCTCTTGGTGTTGGCTGGTTTATCCGATCTCTTGGTGGTGGCTGGTTTATCCGATCTCTTGGTGTTGGCTGGTCTATCCGATCTCTTGGTGGTTGCTGGTATGTCCGATCTCTTGGTGGTGGCTGGTTTGTCCGATCTCTTGGTGGTGGCTGGTTTATTCGATCTCTTGGTGCGGGCTTGTTAATCCGATCTCTTGGTGTTGGCTGGTCTATCCGATCTCTTGGTGGTTGCTGGTATGTCCGATCTCTTGGTGGTGGCTGGTTTATCCGATCTCTTATTGTTAGCTGGTTTATCCGATCTCTTGTTGGTGGCTGGTTTGTCCGATCTCTTGGTGGTGGCTGGTTTATCCGATCTCTTAGTGTTGGCTGGTTTATCCGATCTCTTGGTGTTGGCTGGTCTATCCGATCTCTTGGTGTTGGCTGGTTTATCCGATCTCTTGGTGTTGGCTGGTCTATCCGATCACTTGGTGGTGGCTGGTTTGTCCGATCTCTTGGTGTTGGCTGGTCTATCCGATCTCTTGGTGGTTGCTGGTATTTCCGATCTCTTGGTGGTGGCTGGTTTATCCGATCTCTTATTGTTGGCTGGTTTGTCCGATCTCTTGGTGTTGGCTGGTTTGTTCGATCTCTTGGTGTTGGCTGGTTTGTCCGATCTCTTGGTGTTGGCTTGTTAATCCGATCTCTTGGTGTTGGCTGGTTTATCCGATCTCTTGGTGTTGGCTGGTCTATCCGATCTCTTTGTGTTGGCTGGTTTATCCGATCTCTTGGTGGTTGCTGGTTTGTCAGATCTCTTGGTGGTGGCTGGTTTATCCGATCTCTTGGTGTTGGCTGGTTTGTCCGATCTCTTTGTGTTGGCTGGTTTGTCCGATCTCTTGGTGGTGGCTGGTTTATCCGATCTCTTGGTGGTGGCTGGTTTGTCCGATCTCTTGGTGGTGGCTGGTTTATCCGATCTCTTGGTGGTGGCTGGTTTGTCCGATCTCTTGGTGTTGGCTGGTTTATCCGATCTCTTTGTGTTGGCTGGTTTGTGCGATCTCTTGGTGTTGGCTGGTCTATCCGATCTCTTTGTGTTGGCTGGTTTGTCCGATCTCTTGGTGGTGGCTGGTATGTCCGATCTCTTGGTGGTGGCTGGTTTATCCGATCTCTTGGTGTTGGCTGGTTTATCCGATCTCTTGGTGGTGGCTGGTTTGTCCGATCTCTTGGTGTTGGCTGGTTTGTCCGATCTCTTGGTGGTGGCTGGTTTGTCCGATCTCTTGGTGTTGGCTGGTTTGTTCGATCTCTTGGTGTTGGCTGGTTTGTCCGATCTCTTGGTGTTGGCTTGTTAATCCGATCTCTTGGTGTTGGCTGGTTTATCCGATCTCTTGGTGTTGGCTGGTCTATCCGATCTCTTTGTGTTGGCTGGTTTATCCGATCTCTTGGTGGTTGCTGGTTTGTCAGATCTCTTGGTGGTGGCTGGTTTATCCGATCTCTTGGTGTTGGCTGGTTTGTCCGATCTCTTTGTGTTGGCTGGTTTGTCCGATCTCTTGGTGGTGGCTGGTTTATCCGATCTCTTGGTGGTGGCTGGTTTGTCCGATCTCTTGGTGGTGGCTGGTTTATCCGATCTCTTGGTGGTGGCTGGTTTATCCGATCTCTTGGTGTTGGCTGGTCTATCCGATCTCTTGGTGTTGGCTGGTTTGTCCGATCTCTTGGTGGTGGCTGGTTTGTCCGATCTCTTGGTGCGGGCTTGTTTAGCCGATCTCTTGGTGGTGGCTGGTTTGTCCGATCTCTTGGTGGTGGCTGGTTTGTCCGATCTCTTGGTGGTTGCTGGTTTGTCCGATCTCTTGGTGGTGGCTGGTTTATCCGATCTCTTGGTGGTGGCTGGTTTATCCGATCTCTTGGTGGTGGCTGGTTTATCCTATCTCTTTGTGTTGGCTGGTTTGTCCGATCTCTTGGAGGTGGCTGGTTTATCCGATCTCTTGGTGCGGGCTTGTTTATCCGATCTCTTATTGTTGGCTGGTTTATCAGATTTCTAATGACAAATAAGGACCATAATGCTGCAAGGCCAATTAATATGACTTTGCTGTATCGTTTGTTCATTGCCGTTGTTGTATACCTGTTTGTGTAAATGTATTTTCGTACTTACCTGAAGTTGCGTGTTATACCTCATAACGCTTACTCCTAAAGCGTAAATGTCCATTAGAGAAGTCTTAGTTCACACTATTGAAAAGTATTTTTATTTTACATTATTTCAGAAAAGAAAATTTTTAAATAACTAAAATATTTACTTCTAATTTGAGTGTACCAAAAATGTTTATATGTTATTTGGCCCGTTAAGTAAAAAAAAGTGAAGGTGTCATTTGAAAGCCAAAATATTAGAATTTCACTTAAAGTCATTTTGTTGGGGTTCAACAGGGTTTAGTGTTTCCTCAAAAAATCTGTTAAAACAATGGTGTACATAGTCATATGATATCAGTTTTGAATAAATAGATTCTGCTGCAAGTTTCCATGTCATAAATGAACATAAATATTGTTAATAAATTAAAATTAACAATCTCGAACTTGAAAAATGACATTTTTTCAACAGTTTCTCAGATAAGAAAAGTTGAACACGGGTAAAATTCCCATTTAAAAGATTGAGCAAAATTATTATATTTCAAGAAATGCATGGTCAGAAGATGATAACACCGTTTTAGAGGCATCTAAACGATCATTAATGTTGCAATATTAAGGGTCAATAGTGTCCAAAACACAATGGACATGAATTTCAAGTAGTTGCAATTTTTTTGTCCTCCACAGGAAGCCCTCTGGAATTGATGGTCATTACTCTAGTTGATATAAATGTACCATCAAAAATATGTTGCTGACTTTTTCCCCATAAAATATTTTTTATGAAAGTTGTGTTGTGTGCAAGGGCTTCTTCACGTGAGATATGGGAAGTGTCAAGGAATATGGGTACAATAATTATGTTCAAAATATCTACAATTTGTAGTATACTGACGTTTGGGACAGATACGTTAAGATAGTCACCTCATTCCATGATAAACTGTTTTTAGTTTTGTCCAAAATATAGAAGTATAATCGGGCAAACATAAACCGTGGCGATAAGCATAAAGGAGTGCAGATCCACACGTCATACACCATCCTGAACTGTCCCAGTGACCAGCCACTTCATGTATGACATTCTGAATCAGATAGGTTCCTAAACCGCAATTTTGGTGTATTGCCTTAATGAATACTTGTGAATTAGCTCATACAGATCATTTATGACTAATGCTGAAATAACGTCATCCAATTTATCTTGTAGTGAACTGCGGTTGACCAAAGCTATAGTATCGGGATGTAAAACCTCCCAATGAGGTGTTCTGGACAAATACGAGCATCAGGAGAGCATCATAGCCGATGTTAGATGACCAGACTATGGCGTGTAGATTTTAGAATATATAACTCAGGTCCTATTCTCTACAAGTACTATAAAACATTTGCTTTAAAGGCATCGGCACTGTTACCTCAATGGGGAATTACGTTCAGAGACAATCAACTACACACCGTAATCTGTTTAGGTGTAACAACTGCACATGAATCACACTAACATTTTTGTTTCTAATATTGAATTGTGTATGTCCCCAGTTTATAACGGTAAAGGAAGTCACATTAAACGGATCAGTACTACAGACAATAAAGAATGGATCCGGGTAATCCATGAAGGGAAAGAGACAATGACACGGATGGCTCTCCCTACATACACATCTAGAAATCCTCTATTAAATCAATTAAAACATCTCAAGAATCTGCTAAACCGTCTTTAAACTTATACCTGTCTATCCAAATAGGGGCCTTTCTACTGAAACAACAATAGAACTTATAAACCAAGCTCACTTCTCGTTGGCGTCCCAGTCCCAAGATCGTCAATCTTTCATCAACCGTTCCTTCCTTGATCTTATGAACTAACTACCAGATGGAACTTATAGAACAAATTCTTTTTACAACAGTCACTGGGTAGACCGGTTTCCACTGAATATTACATATGAATTTACTACGCTTGACACTGAGCTGTATATTAGACTAAATCCTGAGATTCAGTTTGTTACTATATGTGTACCTGTTAGGACAACACGTATAGGTATTATCTATACCTATACAGAGGTAGCATACCAATATTTATATCATTCTGTATGATAATGTCATAGTCTTCGGGTTGAGAAATATATTCTGTATACCCCCTTTCCCTTTTTGGGGTTCTCATATCATCACATGCTTACTAATGATGTATCTCTTTCTGGCCTATGTCAGCAAACCTAAGGCATGTTTTGACATATATCAATGATGTCAGTGTGCTGCTATAAACCACTAATCGGCCAATTCCATCAGGCACAAGGGAGATAACTGATATGGTACCAGGCACCCCTTTTCTGCAAAACCTGTCAACAAAATTTGTAAATATATTTTTACATTGCTTGTTATTTGTTGTGTATGGTAAGAGTTATGGATGCTGAAAAATGAATATAATGTATCAGAATATGTTATCAACAGACCTTGACAGGTCTACCACACTGCAGATTGCAATCAAAAAGACTATCGTTGTATTTATCACTTGCCTTTCAGCGAATGTGGACTATCTATTCACTAATGTTGTAGAACTTAACTTTGTCAATAACTGTTGTACGGTAGTGCTTTCATATTTGGCATGTGTGTTCCTTGTGGCAAAACCTTTCCGGCGGTACCAAATGTTTTGACGATTTGACTCTGACCGTGACCTTTGACCTACGATCGAAAAACTGTACATGCAATTAGCACATGCCTTAAACACTGCAGCTTTAATGTTTCACTTCAGAAAGTTGTTGCAGCCGGGAGCATAGTGTTTCATTCACATATCTTACGATAATTGTTTTGTTAGAAGCCGTTTGAGCTCCCAACAGCGTATCATCATGGTCAAAAGAATCACTGAGGTATACATTTTGGTGCTTGATAAGCGTATTAACGGTGGGCACTCAGGCGGTGCGGATTATATGTGTACATAATCAGTTCTGTATAACATCTTAAAGTGCCGTATGTTAGATTTGGCAGTGTGAGCAGGATATTACAGTCGAGATTTTTTTTCTAAATCTTAAAATACCCGAAGGTATGATAAGTCGCTGGTGATGAAAAGTCTACAATAACTCAATTTTTGCATACTTCTCACGTCGAACAAAAAAAGGAGAGAGTGAAAATTACTTCTTTTTTTAACGCTCATATCCTTACTAATAATTGTTTGTTAGCATGTATTTCTCGGTAGCTAGGAACGTTTGGCTCAATACTGATATCAGTGTGTTAACATCCATTTGAATTGACACAAGTATTTAACTTTAAACTGTTATATGGACTTTTCAACCCAAAATATTTGGAGAGAGGATCAGGAAAGACCTGAAAGTAAGAAAATTGTTTTATTGGACATCTGTGTGTGTAGATTTGTTCTGGAATTAAACAAAAGCGGGGAAAGCAGCAGTGGGCATTTCCTTCGTGTATTTTTTAAAGCATGGTATATTTGAAAGTGTTATTTTTTAACAAGGATATCGCTCCTGAGTGTACATATACTTTTCAAGGAAAAGAGAAGGAGGGTGTTTTGGAATTCTCGTGAAAAAGAAATTATGGTTCTATTTTAATGTATATACATGGATGTATATTATAATTGAAATTAGTTTTTCGACTTAGAAAGTTAACGAATTTACTGTAATAAAAACATTCTGTTTATATATATATATATATATATATATATATATATGTATTTGAACTTTTGATGTCCTTCCTTTATCATACAGGAAATTTGAATTTGATTTGAATCTCAAATATATTGAAACAGGCTGGTTGCCATTGGAACCAAGACATAAATGTAATAAAATTACCGCAATACCTACAAAATATTCTTCCTCAACGGAACCACCGTATTCACAATCACCATTAGATTTCAATTATGCTGTAGAAATCTCGTTGATAGCCCTTTATGTTCGTGTATGGAAAACAAAGAACCAAATGAACTTTGTTTCTTACATTGCAATTTTTCCCTTTAACTCCTTGTACGTGCCTTTACTACAATAAATCACAATATCAGCTAAATTGCTCTTATTCAGTGATATAGAGGGTCTACAACGAGTGGTAGTTTATTATCATCGTTACCTAACTCGAGATAGCTAATTTTCAAATTTAGAGCCTCGTGTCTTTTCTAAATATGAAAATTAACTAACGAGAGTGAGGTAACGGTGAAAATCAAATGTCACGAGTTGTAGTACTTCTTTCTACCATAACCGTTTAACGTAAAAATATATATATTGTGTACAACATTGTTTCGCCCCCATTGACACTTTTGCGTAAGAATACATCGTAAGCTCTCTGATTGGCTCATTAATATGCAAAAAGAGACAAAATCGCTAATTTTGATGCAAAAGACTTATATATTCAGTAATATTGTTTGGAAACATCCCGTAACATTAGTTCATTGAAACACGTTACAAAATTACACAAATTGTTTATCTTTAAAAAACAAAAATGATTTGGAACTAGATTTTATTGCGGATAAGAGTGGTGCTTCTTCGCAGGAAATGTGAATGCAGACACGATTAAGATGGCGTGTAATTTCGAGAACTTCTGATCACTTTCATCAGAAATGTACATCACAATATCAAAGGTTGGGAAACCAAAATTACTGCATTTACCAATTACTATCCCCTTTCCCCCCTCCACACAGATTTACCGCATCACCGATCTTGACCGCCGGCAAGAATGACAGATCGTCACTGTCAGCCATGTTGATGACGGACAGCAGACGATGAAAACAATCGCATGTGGCGAAAGTAGTTCGGGGTCACAGATCATTGTTGGGTCAAATGTCAATGCCTCGTCCAATAGGTTAGACTGTCACCAATAATACACGTGTGTATTATGCGTATGAATAAACAATGGATATGTTGTTTAATGAATAGTCTGGGCGTAAGATAACATACGCAGGTTATGGTAGAAAATGAGTTATTAAACGATGAAAATGCATTTATGTTTTCATGTACGCAAACTTTTTATCTTTAGATCGAAAAGATGTGAATGAGTGTTCTTTATTTTCTTAATACACGCTTGTCCAGTCAATGACTAGAGGACACGACGTGAAGTTGCACTTTGGACAAGTTCACAACTGTTACCAGAACAAGGTTTAAGAAACGCTAATTCTATTGCAATAACTTTAGAGTGATCGTTCTCTGATAGTCCTTGTCGTTTCAAATATCCATTTACAACGTATGTGGTGAGTAATGGAAGTTTAAGGAACTTGGAACGTTTCTTTAAAAAATATAACTTGGCAGAAAGACAGTTTTATCTTTAATCATGAATAAATGAAAAATGATGTTGATATGATCTGGTTATAGGGTATCTTATGCATAAATTTGATGAATTATGTGTATTATTGGAACGTTATTTTTTCTCCTGACATTCCTCGTCGGTTTTTGTACCGTCCATATTTAAACCCAATTAAACAGAGTCAAACGTATAAAGCCAAGATAACTCTGTCAAAGTTACACTATATCAAAATGGGACAGGAATTGGTTGGATTTGTAAATACTTTTTACAAGTGGTTAATGCTATAAAGTTTTCCCAATAGCATAACACACGTATATCAACGATTCGAAGAACGGACGTGAAAAGGTATGGGGGTCACCTGTCCTACCACGAGGTTTTTCCAAGCGTACTCCAGTTTCCCCACACAGTAAGACCCTGCGTGCTTCCATCCGGGCTAAGAAGAGTAATTAATATCCCAATAGTTGTTAAACAAATAAAAGTTTATATTTCATGTAATATCTATTCAAAGAATGAAGTTAATAGCGAACATTTCACGAGCTTTTAAAAAAAAAAAAAAAAAAAATTATTTCATAAAAATAAGAAAACAGACAGTTCGTATTTGTTATTATCAGTACGTATTTCAAATTGAAGAAAAAACAAAACAAAACTGTGATTTGATTTCTTCCTTCGGATATTCTGCCTGGTTGATGATAATGCTTATTTCTATTACGGGTTTAGGTAAAGTTATCTTGATAAGTCTTATCTTGAACAGCCAACTGGAAATTGTGAGTGGCACTTCGGTGGATACATCCTATGACTTTGCTAGATATATACACTTGTACCTGGCCACAGATGTGCAAAGATACATCTGCTACATGAGTATGGCCCCCTGACCTTGGTTGAGAACCGGTCTGTTATTAGATATTCAGATGACTTCATTCACACATTGCTTGAACAAATTTCTCTCTTCGCTAACCTCTTCGCAAATATTGCAGTTAGTGATACGGTTGAGACAATATATACACCAGTGTTATTGTGAAAATCTGCCATTTCCGGGACAAATAGCGTTTATTGGTAACATTAAAGGTAATCAAAATGCTTACGATGCACATGAACAAAGCGACATTGACATCCGTAAAAACAAAGACAAACATCCTTTTGCTAGTGGTCGGGCCATCCAATAACCTTTGTCATTTAAAAAAAGTAGTTCACTTTGAAATTGATTATAATGTTCTTAGTCAAATACGCAACCAATTATAGAATACAATAATATGCACATTTAACCTGTCACCAACGAGACAGAATTCGATACACTAAGAATTAACGAGAACCTACAAATGCCATTGCAAGAGAATATGTTAGAATCTATACAACGTATGTATTGTTAAGTTTTTTCACGCTCATCAAATTATTCGGCAAACGTTGGATGACTTTAAATATTGATCTCTTCAAGGTCGTCATCTTCTGGAAGCTCGCCACGTAATTTCAACTTCTTTTTCTTCAAATCATCCAACCGAGCCTGGAGCTGCTGATCAACCTTCTCCTTGTTGTTAGTATTTCTGAAAATAAAAGATTTTAAATCTCTATAGCAACAAAAAGAGACAATACAAGTGAATAATGATCAATAAAAACTTATTTCTCCTCACATCTCATCCAAGAAATACAATGGTACATTCAAACAACCTTTTGTGTTCTAATTGCCTTATCAATCAGAAGACTGGGACATGTTAATTACACCGGTGTACTTTCATGGCCATACAGAGGGAATGCAAACAAAATGTCTTATTAACGGTTTTAAACAAAACAGTGACACATGTAATACATTTTATCGATCTGTAATTGGTCTCTGTATTGTGGTAAGGAACATGATGGACGTGTTTGATGAACGAATTTTCTCTTATCGCAGTTCGGTGGGGTCATCTTTAAGAAAACAGAATGCACAGACGGGGAAACACAGATGAGACTGAATGAAGGAGATTCATTGCATAAAGCACTTCATATGTACACTACTATGCAATATACATTTATTAATACAAGCATTTGTTCTGTTATAAATCACTGGTATGCAGATACAGTGAAAATGTATTTTCCTGTAACGTCAATGATTACTCTATGATTTTGTTTACTTCTTCACAAAATAAACAAAAAGTATAAAACAATCTATCCATATATATATATATATGATCAATGAAGTAATAGCATCAGTAAGGACAGGCGAATAATGGAGAGAAAACCATCCCAGGTTGTTGTATGGAAGATGGTAATTATGTATATATATATATATATAAACATCATCAATATTAATCAACCTCTCAATATCAATTGCATGCGTCAGTACACTTGTACGATGTTTTTGTACAATCAATCATATTGAAACCTAGCACTTGTTTAATATACGATTCTCTCTCTGCTGTAGTAAAGGAAACATAACTTGCTGAGTTGCTGATGACTGCGAAGGACTTCAAACATGTAAATGAAACTTATAAATCATTCTTTTTGATCACCAACCTGAGCACGAAAAGTTATATCAAACCAAACCCTTAGCCATGATTTTGTGTAGTTCATGTAAAAATGTCTTAAAAGATTATTATCTGGTAGCCTGGAGAACTCCTCTGTGAAAACTAATGTGCTTAAAGCTACGTTAATTTTTAATTTACCAACCTGAAAAGTCCTAAAATTACAGTCATATTTATATTTGTAACATATTTTAAAATTAAATCAAAAATCATTATTTGAGATTATTAACCATTTATGCATTTGTTTTGCTTGCAAATCTTTCGCATTTCGCATCTTTAATGCTATATGTAACTTAAATCGAAGATACGCAATAGAAAAAACATGCTTCATTTCAAATGGATTTAAGACAAAAAGAAATGAGACTGTAAATGTGAACAATACTAACGCTTGGTTGATTTCTAAGGCACGGTTTAATATAGCCTTAGCCTGGTTTTGAAGGTCATTTCGGGCAGCAATTTTCTCCTCTCTTCTCTTCTGTAACTCTTCCTGCTGGCGTTTCCTTTCTTGCAGTTGTTTGCTCTCAGCAGCTTGCATTCCGGATAAGATGGCATCCGATTCCTTTACATAAAAATGCACGTGTGTTACCGTGGAGCAAAAATGTTATAGTAACCAAGAACAGTTTTCACACTCTCTGCAGAGCAACACGAATCTAGAATGTTTTAAACAATAGTCTTGTATACCTTTGTGTTATATCTGTACTCTTAGCAGGTTATTGCATATATTATAATCATTCGTCATACATGTATATTGAAATATGTTTAAAAGGCAGCAATTTGAGAGAGAATAATCATGGTAAGATCTGACCCTGGAAAACTTACATGTGTTAAGGTACACCAGCTGACAGAACAGTCGTAAAGAAAATGGATCTCTATTATTCGGATTATGCCATAATGTTTCCCGGACTAATGACGTTCCACTGAATTCCGATATAAAACATCAACACACAATCAGAATATCACTACGCACCTGTTTGAGTTGTTGCTGTGAAATAGCAGGCTCGCCTGAAGCTGTAGTACTGAATGGACGTGGGCTTTCTGTGTTTGCCCTGGACATTGGTCGTTGGATGTTTCTTGACTCTGGTCTGCCTTTAGACTTGGAACTAAAAGGCCTGTCAATGCTCCGTAAGCTAGCAGCACTCGAACTAAGCTCTCTCCGACTCTGTGTGCGACTTTGTGATCGCTCGTTGCGTATCTGTGCCAAAGTTCTGCTAAATGGTCTCGCCTCTTCGTCCATACTAGAAGAGGATCGCATCTGAGACTGACGGATCTTTTCCTCTAGCTCTAGTTCCTCTTGCTGCCTCCTTTCCTCTGTGTAAATGCAAAGGGTTCTTCGATGTAAATACATTTGCTTTTAGGATTACATATACACTAACAGTTGACTCCCTAAATAGACAATGTACCAATACAAAGCTCTCCCAGTGTATCAGAATAGTAGGTTTCATAGATCACGATTAAATTGTGATTTGTAATTTCAAAAGATATCATTAAGAGGAAACGTCTCAGACCTTGATAATGGAACTTAAACAAATATTTACTTTTACTCCCAAAATCAGATGATGTTCTTAAAATTTTTCGCACACTAATTGTCGAGCTTTTTTCTTGCTTTTATCTTTACCAATGTTTAAAGAAAGTACGAACATTTAAAGGTGTCTAAACATGATCATCTAGTCAAATTCATACACGTCATCCAAAATATATGTCCATATATTGTTTGCATTTACATTGGGCGTAAAGCTGGACGTATTCGAAATGTTTATCATATGTATTCAGGAACAGAAAATAGTATTCAAACATTAACGTATATTAAAATGTTAAATGTATTTGCTTATTACATACATGTAAAGTGGTTAAGGAATGACACGTACCGTGCATGCGCGCCTCGAGTTTGAGCGTTTCCTGTTCTAGATGGTAGTCTGTGAGCTCCGATTTGAACAACAATCGACTCTCTCCAAGGATACCTACAGTCTCATTGGCCTCCTTCTCAAATAATTCCATGAACAGGTTCATCACCGCATTCTGAATTAAAAACATGACTGAATGATGAACATACTAGTAAATCGTTTATGAAGTAATCCTTTGGTAGGTAACAATGATGCAGGCGATGTTTAAGAAATATCGGTATTTGCTCATACGCCAAGGTCTCAAAAGATTATCCGAATTGAACGTTGATGATAATGTAAATCTTAAATCTCCAAAGCTATTCTTTGTCTTATTCCTGCTTAACGAAGAAAACAATCATACGAGGTCTTGTTTTTATTGAAAACTTTTTTTCAGGAAGTCGTGCTCTTACAAAATATATAACACAAATTTAGTCAATAGGAGTCAATCCAGAAATGACAAGTAGATCATATATAAAGGGAGATAACTCGTACAAAAATACGCGCACTTTCACAAATTACACACAAACTTTTTTACATACAACTATCATTATGTTATTAGAATATATTGTATAAACTATCATCATGACATCATATAGTTATCGACAGACATTAACCAAATATGCATAAATATATCCACTGGACAAAGCTGTCAATACTATTTAGTTATATATTGAAAATGATGTTAGTTCTGTATATTGTTGGGTTAAATAGTATTAATTGTCTGAGGAAATAAGTGTCATCATTTAGATTGTCAATAGTGTGACACATTAGGGGGAAGAAATTGTCAAAGTAATTAAGTTAATTCTGTATATTAGTGGATTAAATAGTATTAATTGTTTGAGGGAATAGGAATTATCATTTAGATTGTAAATTGGATTTAAGACATCTTGTAAGTACTGAATGACAGCCCATTCAGCATTGTATACATTGTTTTTTGTTTGTTCCTTTTTACTGATAGAGTTTCCCAACCAAGTTTTTTTTATAAAGTTGATGAGAGATGTTCCAGATCGAAGTCCTGTTATTAGTCTTGCTGCTTCTAATCGAAGAGATCCTTGAAGATCTTTTGACTGGTTAGCCCCATATGTTTAATCTACTGTATGCATTTTCATATATATCAAGAATGTTTTGTTTCCAAGATGTGTCATCTTTGAGTGTAAGTCCAAGGTGTTTGTTTTGTCAGTGATTTGGTTGTTTTAGAAAATTATTGGGGGATTTTTGAAAAGTTTTTTTTAGAAAATATTACTGATTTTCTTTTTCAGGGTTAAACTTGATGTCCTAGATACTCGCCCATTCATTATTGTTGGAGAGATCAAATGTGCTATTCCATCTGTTAAAAGTTATTTTTAAAACGCCGGATGTCCTTGTTGCAGGTACATGAACAATGTACCGTATATACAGGGATAGCAATTTAGATCAATATTTGAAAACATGTATACAACTACACTAATACCAATACCTATATTGTGTTTTCTAACAAATATCATAATCTATTGGCATTTTTCAAGTTTAGAAATAATTGTTGTGAAATACTCCTTACACATTTAAAATTTATTTCCCGGAAATTGTAGCTGAGAACATGCTCATTTTTTGTTTTTCCATCTTTTTGTTTTTGTTTTGTTTGTTTTTCTTTTATATTTTTCATATTTTTTCGTAACTGTTGTTTCCTTGTGCACGTTGTTTATTGTAATTTGTCAATTTTATCTTTATGCGTAAAAGCTCTCCTACCATTCTTTGGTTAATCAACACCTCCTTTAACTTCCTCACTAACTGATATCAGATCAATCATATACGTACTGTCAACAAAACAAACAAACAGATTATTTCTTGTTTTGTTACCTTGGTGTGTATTTCTATTATAGTGTATTATACTGAATATATCTAATGTACATTTTGTTACTGCGTGATACAAATCTTTACAGTCTTTTTCAATGCATTATTTCAAAACATCTCTGTAAATGGTGTGAATATGTCTACACCATTTTAGTGGTTTAAATTAAATGTGTACCAATAACATGTAACATACGCGAACTTACTTCATGGCCCAGTTGCCATAATTGATGATATTCTTTACTCCGTGAGAAAACGTTGAGTCGTACTCCACGTTTCGTTCCTGAAAGTTTTGTGTAATTAGTGTAAACCCGGGGGAGCCGTCAATCACTAAATGTATACAACATAGTATGGCTAATTAAGCATTTACACGATACGCTTAAATCAATACGGTCTACATCGCTAATTTTAGTAACCTGGCTCTCTATAATAAACAAGTTAAGGATCCTGTGTGTCAAGAGAAATGTAGCTTGCATTCACCTTGGCAATATTGACGTGTACGGGCATGCATGACTCAAAATTTTGCCGGGGTATATGCAAATACAATGTGTGTCCTTAGTTTGCGCATTGCAATGACCCCAGGGAATTATGAACATCTATTCTACATTCAAAACAAAAAAATCGAAACATCATGCCTTTCATAATAAAGTTCAACATTTCTGACCTTGTTAGTAATAAAACATTCTGTTCTGCTACACTAGAGATGCGTTGTACATGTTACAGCGCCTGAACTGAATTGAATACCTGTATAGATAGGAAACTAGAGATATTTAACATAAGTTTAATAGTAACTTCCGTAATGACTGTATTTCTGAATCAACGTAGTATAATTCTTGTTTAAGTACGACGTCCTCGCATGCTATTTTCAAATTAACGGAGTCATGGAATTTGGCGAATGACGACTCTGTGGAGTACATCAAATCTACTGTAAATATAATTTGCTCAACATATTAAGATTCTAATTTAAATGGGGAACAAAAAAAAAAAAAAAAACAAAAAACAAAAAAAATATGAAAAATCAAAATGCCAAGAGAAAAAATGCCATGACCTGAAATATTCAACTACGCCATGAAGCTAGGAGACATAAAAACACAAAAGGAATGCTTGTATCAGAACTTTTACGAAAAGTATACAACACCGTGTATCAGAAAGTCTAGCGGTCATTTGATGTTCGACAATAACTCACATAATCTAAGTTCATTAACACTAAAGCAATATATAATAAATAAACGATTTTAACGGAAGCTCTAAGAAAAAATATCAAGGAGAATAGACCAGGTGTTCTGGAAGAGTAAGCGTCTTCTGCTTCATCGACGACACCCGCCATGTAAACCTTGGTCAATCTAAGTAACCGGAAGGTTTACTATCGAGCATCAAGCAGGTCAACTTCCATATTTTATAAGGATGTAGAATCCAGTATGGTCATTATTGTGACCATAAAACTTTCCCATCTTTTCCTTAACTAGCAACTCTTGAAACCATGTGTTGTGAAGTTGTCTGTCAGTTATCATAAATTGCCGAAAAGTAATCTAACTAAGATAAATTGTATTCACTAAGTAAGTAATCAGAGCAGATCGGTAACCATTTGATATTCAACAAAGTTTAAAACTCAAATAATATTTTTGATTGACACAAAGAGCGACTATAGAAGCGAGAAATATTAGAACTCATATGGTCACCCCTCGATGTACCATTTAAGGAGCTAGTGCAACTGACACTTTTCGATCAGTTTTAATTTTCTCCTGTCGCATCATGAGGTATACATATATGTAATTAGTTAACTGACTTTACCGTGTCTACTTCTACCTTTACATTGAAATGTGCCGTTCACTTGTGTATCGTTTGTATACCCCTTCGTGTTGATTAGGGCAGCCATGTCACACACGTGTGATCAGATACCAAACCAATCCATTTTACTATTGAACATGTCGTTTATATTATTGATGCGTTCGTAGATAAACATTTATTGACTATAATTGAATTAATGTCACCGAGATCATTTAGTGCAGAGTTCATGGAAAGATCTTGCATCGACAAAACGCATTTCCAATCCAATGAAAAAAGGTGTGTGTGATTTGGATGTAGGAGTGTTCTCCTAAGCAGTGATATTAAAAATTTGAGTGTATTTGTTTAACTTTAAACTTCCGAATCTAATACTTTTTTCGTGTTGTTATCTTTACTTATCTCTCGTCTTGGCTTTAGACATTCTTTTACTTGTCCCTCTGTTCAACTTTCTTTGAAAAAAAAAACAAGAAAACAAACAGAAACACAAAAAAAAAAAAAAAAAACCTCCAAAACCAGAAAGTAACTCTCTATGAGAAAACTGAGTCATAACATTTGTTGTATTTGGGACACCGTTATGTACAAAGCACTTTTTGCAGGAGTAGAAGATCACGTTTACTCAACATTTCTCTTCTAATTATCGCATATACTGTATCACAACAAGGCTGTAACTCTAACCTATCGTTATATACAACCGGTAATTCTGAATATTGTAATTTTGAAATATTACTAAGAATTGAAACACAATGATGTCCCGGAAACCGGACTTACTTTTAAGCTTAGATAAAATCTGCCTGGTGGGGATAGACAAAGCGTATCAACTGATCTATTTTGGTGACTAATGAAGAATTATCTATAATTCATGTACAGGGACGTATTTACTTCCCTGCTTCAGTAAAGTGGATTTACGTTGGTGCAGTTTTATTCACTGCTTGAGTGCTATATGAATAATCACTTTTATTTTTTTTTTTTTTTGTTTGATTGAAGCGGAATTCTTCTAAATCAATATTTCTATCTTTTACTGCTTTGATCCGCGTTGAACAACCTTGATCTTCACATTGATGATGTTCCATAACCTTGATTCATCAATATAAAATGATACTCTATATCAAATATGCATGTCTACAATGCTATGGTATTTTGTTCGAATGTCTGTCAGTTTTATTGCTACATACAAATTAAATCATTTTCGTCACGTCGTTTCAATATCAAGCCGACATTATTATTTTAGCGTATGTGTATGTATATCTAATTTCAGCAATGTCGGTTACTAAGAACATGAATTTAAGAGTCTTGACGACATATCCGCACTGAACCATGAAATGCTACCTCAAGGGACAAAAAAATAGTTTTTCTCTTTCATTGGGCACAGCAGACTATTTTTTTATGTTTGATTAATATACATTATATACATGGGTTTTCCTCTTATTGACATGTTTATCTAATCGTGCAATACATATAGCTAGCATTGACTTTCAGTTTTGACTGTTTAACCAATAGACGTGTAATCATAATTGTGGATAATCAGGTGGCGTTGGCGTAATGCATTCGCATTTCAAATTGACGTTGGAGTTCGATAACCCGATTGGACATAAAAGGGGAGGTGTGTCACGTGTCCGACCATGCGTGTTTCCCAGGTACTGCCACAGTAAGATTCTTCTTACGCTTCTATCCAGATCAACAACAAAAAGACATGTGAACAGAATCATAATCCAAACTAAAATTCAATAAAACTAGGACAAAATAAAAACAAAATTCACAGGAAACTTGCAAAAAAGCACATGAAGATGCAGACCAGGTGTTTCGGAAGAGTAACCGTCTTCGCCATCATCGAAGACACAAGCCATATAAATCTTGGCCAATCCAAATGCATAATGTCGTGTTCCCGAAAGAAAACAAGGTTTAAACGACGGAACGAACATGCAAACTAACAAACATCAAACATATCTAGCCTCAAATAGCACACAGAGATTGAATTTTCCCAATTTAATGACCGTAAAACTTCTTCATAATTGCCATAAATCAACATCTATTGAAAACCTGTGTTATGAGCATATATCAATTGTGGTTAACTTGTACTAAAATCTTGATAGTGGAAACACACCTGTGAATGTTGAATACATTGATACCTGTTACCGCCATAGGTTTGGGATGTTGTTATCCAGAAATGGAAAATTCATGATAAGGAAATTGAGGTTATGACGCTTATCATACAGCACGGTGAAAAGCTTTCAATGTTGATTTTGTTGTGCCCTTGATTTACAATTCTGGTGGAATAAACGATAATTTGGTCATTAGATACCTTGTCTTTTAAAGACAGGACGTCCACATATCTGGAGTGGAAGGTCTTTGCAAGCCTTCGATAGATCTGGCCTCGAATGAAAATAATTACAAATCAGTCATATGAGGGGTGCAGTTAGTTTCCAACAGTCCCGACGGACATATTGTCAACCAGAAATTCGATTGATATAAGCCGATTTCTTGTGTCGAAATTGCTGTAAAATGAATGAATCTTATAAATGCAATGACGGGCAGTCACGTAACCAATATCGAGGAAAAAATGATATTTGAATCTTATGGCGAGACAACTTGGTTGTCATCTACATATAGTCATGAACAAATTTACGTACCCTTAGATCTGGTGACATCTCGGTAGAGCTCAGGTACTTGAATACTGCGTCATCAACGTTTTCCGTCATGTTCAGGTTAGGCGTCTCGTCTTGTGTCATTTTGATGTATTGTTTTCAGTCAGACACCAAAATTTCCAAAAAAATCGAAGCCAATAATATATAATCTAACAACAGTTCCGTCAGGTTCTATTCGCTATCATATAAAACTACATATATATATTGTATTTGCAATATGACAGTTCCCAGTAAAGTCCCTGGAGTCGAAGAGCAGTGCTGATGTTAACTATATCGTTTAGACACAAATTTCGTGTTCACAAAACCTTATACCAGGAGCAGTTGTCCTTTTCCAGCCGAATGATGTACAGACAGTCAACTGAATGGATAGCTACAAGACGTTTGTGGAGTAAATATCCAATGGTATTGATCTCTTCACATGAAAAATTCAGAGAAACTAAAAAGTAACCGTGCACGCCAATCGTTCGATAGTGATGTAGAGCGTGTCCTACCTGTCAGCAGCCGTCTCACGTTTTTAGTATGCATAAGCAAATGAAATCCATACAAGCTCCATGAACGGTTCCGTAGAGCTGATGATGCTGAAATCATTATGTACTGTCTCCGTGACAATCCAACATCAGACGATCGCAACGCTGTATCACGAACTGAATGCGTAGATATCGGTTTTCATATCCTAAAAGACATGTAAGAAATCTAAAATCTGAAATATCTCATATTTTTTTTACGAATAATTGAAAATGTCATTAATTTTTTTCTTTTTATTTCAGTCCAGTAACTGTAAAAATGTTATTTTATAGCGTTATATCTTACTTTTCTTGTGAACATTATACGGGAACGTTGAAAGTAATGCCTTATTTGCTAATAAGGTCTTGATACCCACCAAAAGACGTAAGTTTATCACCTTGCTTGCTATTTCCTGTCACGATACTGTTATATGTTTTAATGATTAATGTCGTCTGTTTAGTATATTAAGGAAAGGTTAACAAATATAAGATAATTTGCTTTCTCAGCATACATTTGTATACCATGTGAATTCATTTTTAACATGGTTATCTATTGGAGAGCATGACATTTCCTGGATCGATTAATGCTTTACCCTATATGATTTTACTACCTTGAAATATTGCTAGTCTCTTAATTTGAATTCTGAGACCCTTTCTTAAATGTTGATATTCAGAACCGTGTTTCGAAAACAAATTGTTTAGGTGATAAATGTGTTATGTAGAGTTGTAGAAATATTTTTATTCATCAAAAGACAATCTAACAACAAGACAACATTAACAACAATAAAAAAAATAACGATTCACCATATCAATTAGTTCAACCAAACATGAAACATGTGTATATATTTAGATAGTCACTGATAATAACAGCTATTGCTGATTGATTACACTCTCAAAAAAATCATGGCAAATTTTAACTCACGAAATAGTTTGGTTTTCGCAATTTAAATTATCAGACTATTGAGAGATCCTGAAACAAAACTGACATTTTTTTTCATACATGTATATCAGCCTGAAGCCCAACGTTCATTAAAAAAGATATATAGCTTTATACATCTGGCAAAACGATAGAAAACCTATTCGCTTCGTTCTACATTTTGATTTGCCTGAAATCCTTTTTGAAGTTTAAACATTTTCTTCGGAAATAAATTTACTGTTTAAAAAAATCACGAAAAAATACATACATTGAAACGCATCAAAATTATACAATGTGAACATCCCAAATCTAGTATATGGCCAGTTTAAAACCTCGTAATACCACTTACAATATTTATAAGACGTGTTTCCGGTGTCGAATTATTAGCGATTACGTTGCTGTAGATAAACAGGTAATTCACTCCCCTGTCGTTACATCGATTAAAAAAGCTATAAATATGACGGCAAGTACAGTTACAAATATGTGAGTAGTAACATTAAAGTATTGCTGAATCAATACTGTGAGGTGATTCCGATATATCTTAAGGTCATGTTTAACCAATTAATTACAATATAGTGATTAACTGACAATAGTTTACGTACATATCAAGTTCTTACCAAAGTATATGGGACATAAAACACAGTTTCAGAAATATAACTAAACACGTTAAACAAACAAAATAAACACACAACAACGCTAAAATATTCTAAAATATCAGAGTGATTTTTATCTATGTTTTCGGAATATTCTCAAAAATGAATTTTAAAAAGACGTCAAGAAATAAACATCCAGATACAGTGTATCATAATAAATACGACGTGATTTTAGAACGCACAATAGCGAAATTCGATATTACACCTCCCCGTTCCTTTTTTTATACCTGATTCTCCAACAATGCAACAGCAACAATTGGTTCCAAATAAGTACTTCTTCCATAAAAGGATACATCATGTATTTTCAAATCCCGAGGTATTTGTTTCTGTATCGCAACCCATGAGTACAAATATTGAATACATTAAAACTGATCATTTGTTGGTAATTGTGTTTCATTGATTGTTTGGATTATCTCCCTTGGTTCAATTTTGATGATGTTCATTGTATTTAGGATCTTCTTTATATCGCTTTATGGTTGCCGTATATATTCCGTCCCGCCGAAAATATGATATCTATTTCGTTGTCACCAAGACGATAATGTTGCGTAAACCACAATTCTGGGATATAGTGGCGACCGCCATCAAGAACATTACTCCAAGTCTTTACTTTAGATTACTTCATTACAAATCCATGATAAAGTCATCACATATGAATTTCTTCAATGTCGTCCATGTCTTCCTGGTGATGGGATCTTGCAGATTGTTTCATTTTATTTTTCTTCAGCTCATCGAGTCTGGCTTGAAGTTGTACATCTACCTTCTTCTTATCAGACGCGGCCCTGCAAATTCAGATGAAAAGTAAGAAAAAAAACTAAAAAACAAAACAAAAAATATGTAACACTTGATATCAGCTTTACCCACTCTACTGCTGAGAAATGAAAACAAAAAGAGATATCACCATTCAAAATATTGGCCCCATAAGGTCTACGTACTTCTAGAAAGAAAGGAATCGTGAGGTGACTTGAGCTTATACAAGATATGAAATCAGCATCGTCAGATATAAAGGATTTGTAGTAATTTATCAGTGGTTTATCTTGAAAATGTAATACAGATCAGCTTTCAGTAAATCCTATGTATAAAACCAGACTAATTTGATAAACTGTTCGGCATGAACTATGATTTGTTTGATTTGATAATGCAATAAAAACAATGCATTGAATGACTGAAGTCGAACTCACACAGGTTTCAATAAATGCAACGTTTATCAGTTGTAACCATACAATGCTTGTTTACTTAAGTAGTGGAGAAACAACAAATTACTGCCGATATAAACTTCATGTTTAGTCTACACTGAAATCATCCCTAAAATATGATATGTGGCATACTAAAATACTCACTATTGAAGATAAATATTGGCATCTTACATAGAATACACTTTGTTGAATATTTAGAGTAAAATCATCACTACAATACACTTCCTTCAATATTAATATTGAACTCCTTACTACAATACACTTCGTTCAATATTAATACTGAACTCCTTACTAAAATACACTTCGTTCAATATTAATACTGAACTCCTTACTACAATACACTTCCTTCAATAATAATACTGAACTCCTTACTACAATACACTTCCTTCAATAATAATACTGAACTCCTTACTACAATACACTTCCTTCAATATTAATACTGAACTCCTCACTACAATATACTTCGTTCAATATTAATACTGAACTCCTTACTACAATACACTTCGTTCAATAATAATACTGAACTCCTTACTACAATACACTTCCTTCAATAATAATACTGAACTCCTTACTACAATACACTTCGTTCAATATTAATACTGAACTCCTTACTACAATACACTTCGTTCAATATTAATACTGAACTCCTTACTACAATACACTTCCTTCAATAATAATACTGAACTCCTTACTACAATACACTTCCTTCAATAATAATACTGAACTCCTTACTACAATACACTTCGTTCAATATTAATACTGAACTCCTTACTACAATACACTTCCTTCAATATTAATACTGAACTCCTTACTACAATACACTTCCTTCAATAATAATACTGAACTCCTTACTACAATACACTTCGTTCAATATTAATACTGAACTCCTTACTACAATACACTTCCTTCAATAATAATACTGAACTCCTTACTACAATACACTTCCTTCAATATTAATACTGAACTCCTTACTACAATACACTTCCTTCAATAATAATACTGAACTCCTTACTACAATACACTTCCTTCAATAATAATACTGAACTCCTTACTACAATACACTTCCTTCAATATTAATACTGAACTCCTTACTACAATACACTTCGTTCAATAATAATACTGAACTCCTTACTACAATACACTTCGTTCAATAATAATACTGAACTCCTCACTACAATACACTTCGTTCAATATTAATACTGAACTCCTTACTACAATACACTTCGTTCAATATTAATACTGAACTCCTTACTACAATACACTTCGTTCAATATTAATACTGAACTCCTTACTACAATACACTTCCTTCAATATTAATACTGAACTCCTTACTACAATACACTTCCTTCAATATTAATACTGAACTCCTTACTACAATACACTTCGTTCAATATTAATACTGAACTCCTTACTACAATACACTTCCTTCAATAATAATACTGAACTCCTTACTACAATACACTTCCTTCAATAATAATACTGAACTCCTTACTACAATACACTTCCTTCAATATTAATACTGAACTCCTTACTACAATACACTTCGTTGATTACTTAACCAGATATAAGACTTACGCATTGCTCATTTCAATAGCCTTGTTGAGGATAGCCTGGGCCTGGTTTCTCAGTTCGTTTTTCTTATCCTCCATTTTTTCCTCTCGACGTCTCAGCATCTGTTCCACCTGTCGCTCTCGTTCCTTCATCAGCTTGTAGTCTGCGTTCTGCATGTCACCAATGATCATATCTGACTCCTACAGCAATAAAACAAATTAACATTACACGAGTACATAAACCTTTGCGCTTTATCAAAATTTATTGTCCCCGTTCATATCTATCCTGCATGTGTGCATGGGTAGCTTTTACATTTGGTGTGATGCAGGTGTATATAGAGACTATAATATCACATGTCAATATCTCTGAAGTACCTTTTTCATCTGTTCCGGAGAAAGAATTGGTTCTCCGGAACTTAGAGTACTGAATGGTCTTGACTCTGGCCTGGGACTGCGGCTCCTGATCTTATCAGGTCGTCCTGCCGACAATTCTCCCCAACTCTCCTCATTACGGTGTTGACTCCTACTCGGCCTAGCTTCGCTGACACTAAGCGTGGTTGGGCTGCGAATGTAGGATTTTTCTCTACGAAGCTCTGCCAAATCGCTCCAACTGCGGTCATTGCGGCTTTGAGCTCTACTTTGTGCTCGTTCATTACGAATTTGAGCTAGACTTCGACTATTTGGTCGTACTTCGTCTTCCATTTTTGATTCTCGACCTTTCACTTGTGGGTAGTTTAAGTCATCTTGCTTTCGTTTTTCTTCTAAAAAAAACAACAAACAAACAAATGTATGAATGTTACTGCGTAAACGTTCTGCTGAACAAAATTATGTTCTGTCAATCGGATATAGTGTGCGATACATTAATGTTAAAGTTATTTATCGCCTCAATCATGGAAATCAAAGAAATACATGTTATCATATATATAAGTTATTATTTATTTACCAAAGAAAAAGCACTTATCTTCACCAATGCTCAACCGTAAAAGCCCCTTACAGTTTTGCTGGCATTGTAATATGTGAATTAACTAACCAAGCAAGCGGGCCTCATTTTTGAGTTGTTGATTTTCTAAATTGAAATCGAGAAGTGTAGAGCGAATCATCATTCGGGATTCCTCTATAACATGAACTGTATCCTCTGTCTCCTGTTCGAACAGATCCATCCATGCCTCCATAACCATTTCCTGCAAAGTGGACAAAGATAACATGAATTCAAGACATGCTGTTAAAGGAAACATTCTTACAAAATATACTTTCAACATACTTTATACTTTATACCAGACGGATTGATACAGATAAATTCATCAATGTATTTGATAATAAATTAATAGAAAACGCCAGTAGACCTTTGGTCTATCTTCATGTATTTAGAAATATATCCTTAGCATCCTTAAAGAACCTTAGGAGGACGAATTACCTCAGAGATGCAATTAAATTAATTATTTGGCTTTACTTTATTTATGTCTATAACTGTGTCGAAGTTATGTTTACTTGTATATCATTTGTACAAGTTTTTTTCAGCAAACCGTCATGAAGGTCAATGGGATCACAAAAAATCGCGAAAAATGGGCATTGCCATCACACATTTGCATGAACACAATAACTGCATTCAACACAAAAGTTGACTGAATGAAAATATGGGATCATATCTTGTATTGAAATTCCTTTAAACTTTTATTCTAAAACTGTGAAATAATCAACATATCAAAGTGTCTAGCGGTCTATCAACATTTTACTATTTTCTTTTGTTATGTCGAATCTCAATTTTCGCTCTGTAATAATTGGTATTGGACACATGAAACGAAATATCCATGGTAACTTCGTTTTGTGAGATAAATAGAGTTTATTAATATACAAAGTACATAAGATCTATCAGATATAAATTCCCCCCTCTATTATTTTGCATATATGATTACTTGTATGTGACTTTTGACCCTTTGACCTTGACCAAAAATCACCTTGATATACAAAGTTTACAACTTCAAAAGACAGCAAAGGAAATGCCGACATGTTGACAGAATCTTAATTTAAAAAACGTTCGCTAACTAAAATTAGGGTGAATTAAGAATCTAAGAAATATTTACAAGGAAAATAGTGCAAGGAAGGAAGATCACTTAGCGTCCAAATATATGACATTTATTCGGGGCGGGAATACAGCGCATTTTCTCTTTGTATCCATTTAATAAAAGTACGAAATTACTAAATTAATTATAGATTTAGAATATGCATATGTTACCTGTCAATGTGTAATGATTAAGATCAGCATGTCATTGATCAAACGTGTCAATAACACGGCTCAGCGGTACTAAAAGTTATCTGATATGTAAGATTATAGAGAAAGTATATATAAATATGACTTATAGAATACTACCAGAAATATAGAGCTGTATTTTTTTCTGTTTGGAAAATTTTGATGTTTATTGGAATTTGATTAAAGTGTAACTTCAAAAGAGAGAATGTAATTCATTTGATTTCTCAGCCATTCCAACTATCTAATATATTATATATTGGAATCAACATCTGACATTAAAATAACCTTTGCTATTCGCTTTGATATGCAAATACCTCATCCACTCTGCAAGATCAAAGCAATACAAACTAAACAGGCGTTCTTTAACCAATTTACATTGGGTGTTCATGAAGAAAAGTTTAAAGAATACAGTAGATAAATGAAACTTGATGCATAATTGTGTTTAATATCTTTAAAGTGACAATATCGTTTGACTTTTTATCACTCCTACGTAAATATTTCGATGTGACATTTATAGTCTATATATAGATTTATTCAATTACCTAAGTATGCAAGACCTTGATAGACTACAGTTTAGGCAATATAATACCTTGGTGTTCTAGGAAACTTCGTTCCATGGGCTTTCTTTCAAAGGTCTGCTACTTTTGTAAACACAGGAAAAAACCCTGCTTCCTCTTAAAACACAACAAAACATTCAGGCTTATACAAGGCAAGTTGCCTTAATAGGTAAAGTTTAACGAACTTGGAAATTCCCAGATGATAGAGTTTTCTTTCTTCATTGACTTTCAACAAGACATTTGGATGAAACTCATCCATTCGTAAAGAGACGCATGTTGTACAGAGTTTGCTGACAGAACAAACAGCGTTCATGTAGCATACTGGTTGACGTAAGTCAGTTTGGCATTTTTGGGTATAATAATCATAATCATAATCTAAACTCAAATTCAATAAAAATGGGGAAATGTGGAAAAAAGAAAGATTTACAGGACAATTCCCGAAAACGTACGAGGAGAATATGACCCGGTGTACAAATAAGTTCTCTACATGTTCGCATGAGATTGCTCTAGGAATTATCGATTTCAATTATCATCCCACAGAACCATTCAGTTTATTAGAAACATCTTAATCGCCAATATACATTACTTTAGTTAAGTTACACGTGACATCAAAAACAAGTGATTGTGAGCAGAGAAAGTTAAGTTGGAGTAGCTCTCTGAATAGTGGGACAGATGATAACAATTTGGAAGTCATGAAGTGTATTTACAAGTGGACGTTCAATAATGAAACACTGACATCAACCATGGTCCTGGTACAAATTTATTGATTGCAGATGACGGTGACAAGTTCTTTTGACCGCTATATTTAAACTGAAAAGCTAGGTCGACATTTTGTTTGATGATCAAACATCGTAGAAATACGTTCCAAGGTTTTTCTCATTTTATCAATAACTATTTTATTATTCAAGAAAACAAGAAGTTCAAATTTATCCTCGTCATCGATCCCGCCTCGTACACACCATATACCTATGGTGATCATGCCGTTAATTAATTTCTTAATTGTCCTGATGTATACCGGTAAATAATTCCCTACATCGATACCGACCACCTGACGCAAGCGATTGGCATACATGTAAACTTGGATTCTTGATTATGTTAGGTATAGATATATAGCGTTGTTCAGAGTCTCGGGGAAAAACTAAACTGAGAACTGATAATATGTAAAACAAACTTTAAATGGTTAAAACTAAAATAGGGTTCTCATTCATTTTTATTTCAATATCTATTGATGAAGCATTTATCTCAACGTGCGTTTCGCACTATTATATGTACTGTCATGTGCTATAAATAGTAACGGGAGAAAGGCTTCGCAGTAAATTACATTTAATACAAGTCGCTCTCTGATAATTCAGGTCTAACGATACCATTATTGTTATGGTTGTATAACCGCTGCTTACTCAACACTTGATACAATGTTATAATTATATACACATAGCTTTAATCTATCTATTGATCGGTGGTTAAGGAATAACGTTGAACAAGCTATAAGTTCACATCCCGTTTGCTTCAGCGAGACATTGGCTGGACGCGCTAGTTGTCGTTATCATACCAATCGATACAGGTGTGTTATCGACTATCTTTACCAGACGGTTTTCATAATGGAACTTGTAAAGCATACCGTTACTAAATAAAGCCTGGTGTTAAATATCACGTATCCAAAATTATCCTGTAACAGTGATTTTTGTTTTAAAAAAGCATGAGGAATGTGGTCAAAGCTATGATTCATATTCAAATTCAACGTACGTGTGATAAGGATAAACGTACATATATAAAGACCATTGAAACCTTACGAGGAAAATTGATCTCAGAGCCTATAAAATGTGTAAACGTCATGATAACTTTAAAATTTGTCCTTGTTCTTTACAAAAAAACTAAGAACATAACGACAAGTCAACGAAATCTTGATTCTAACTCCAAAGCGATTTAACCTATAAGAGGGGTTTATTAGGAGACTCTTTTAAAGTGCATGGTTAGATAAGGTTTTCCGGAAGGATACGCTTTAGATCAGTTAAGCCAGTGCTGTATATGATAAAGGTGTAAAAATGGCATTGTCGCTGAAACTGAATAATTGATTACCTGCAGTATCGATATTTATGATTAACAGGAGTTGTTGCTATTATTATGAGGAAGTGAAATGTATTAAACTTGATATAAATTATGAAATAGCATATCAGAAGCCCTCCATTAGATACGGAGAGTCTAATGATTATTATGCAAACTGGCATGTATAATAGATCTTGCATTCTCTACCTTATCAAGGTGTGTAACTAGAGGCTAATAAGTGCATTATAGGTATTAAATTTTTTATTTTTCAATTTACGGGAAATGACTAGAAGTAGCATATGCAGTATTCGACTTTTAAGGAGGTCTCTCGATGGATTGTCCTAAGTGAATTATTTCGATCTCGTTACAACCTAGTATGAATAAAACATACCCTTTGAGTATCATCAACATAATTTCTTCATTAACATACTATAAATCTAACCTAAAGATATTGCTGTTTGAAATGGCGTGTTGGATTAAGATAAATGACCTTGATATGCCCTACTCTACAATGTAAATATTTACATTTGCCTGTCTCATTACAACACTCTAGGCAATGGTGAACATTGCATGTTGTCCAAGTTATTGTGACGTCACAATACTCTTGATAGCCGTCCCGTTATTGGACATCATCCACCGTAAAAGATGATACCCGAATATCTAATATATAAAGCTATTGGTGATGAAATAATGAAGTGTTGTTTTAATATATTTATAGTCGATATAATTGCTAGAAATCCGTAAGAAACTTGTCCACTGTTCTATGAGTTCCATGAGATTGACATAATATCACATGCAAATAATGCAAATAACTTTATTCAAAATGAACACTCTGGCTACATACTTAATGACTGTTGAAACCTATACTTGTAAGACTAAGTAGAATATCGAGTTTATTCAGTATAACACTTAGCTTTATGTTATTTTAGTTTGGATTATAATGATGGCCACATATTGGTATTTTCTTGTTGTTTAGGTCATAAACATATTCATGGGATCTTATATTATCTAGAGGAGCAACGGAAATTAGAACTAGCGGATGAAACAATGCTGCCATTTTGAAGAACGTACGCTGATAAATCGTAATTCTTTTTAGATAATGAGTTTTTACGATTCCACGTCTCAGCTGGCTTAAACTGTTTTATATTTGTAACGATACGTAGGTCATGCACACATAATTATGAAATTACTACCGTGTCCATATAAATGTATCGAGATTAGTTTCCAAGATAACAATGATATAATGACTGGCGACATCAATATTAATCAATTTTTCCATCAATGGAAGAATTATTTCTGAGATACGTTTGACGTTTCAATAGGGATACTGCTAATATTGATATTGAACAAAAGCTTTTTTGTGTTATGACTGTTTTGCGATACACACGCATGAATCTATTGTAATCGTCAAAGAACTCATACGCCACATACAGCCACATTTGTATGGTGTATATCAACAACGTGTATTTTATTTGTTATCAAATCGATCGATTGGTTATCTGAAATAGATTTACTCGCCTTTGCTATTGTATTTTGACATAGTATGATTGGAGTGAAACAATTTTATAGATTAAATAAAGCTTTCTTTTATGATTTTTTTGGTTGAAATCATAAACAGGTTTGTATGAAGTATAAGCATGAATTATTTCTATAGAAAGTTACCTATCATTTGAATAAATAAGCATTTAGTAACATTTTAAGAGTTAAATATTAACCGGGAATCTTTCTTAATTAAATTTCACCTAAACATTTAAAGTGTCATTTAATTCATTTGATGTCTTCATCGATGGTCGAAAATGTAATCCTTTTATCAGAAAGCACGGAAAGAATATGTATCACCCTTTCAAGAATAGCCCTAGAAATATTGATACTAAAAATCATCGAATCACCTTCGTCATCCATTTATCAATTATAGCCAATGATATTCATCCTGTGTCACATATTTTGTTTTGTCCTTATTGGTTTTAAAAACGATGTACTAGGGAAACTATTAACAAACTGAATAAGTAATAAAGACTATGAAAGTCTATGAAAAGTGACATGGTATTCATCGGTAATCGGCAGGCAGATTTAGTACTTGGCAATCGTATGTAATTATCTATTCAAGTGTCAGTCATTACGATTGATCTTACTGAAAACTGATGTCAGTCCACATTTGATCCAGAACTAACAGGAAGTAATTACAATATTACCAATACAATTAACGTTGTCACAGCCGAAATGAAAGCAATAAATGGCAACGTTTCAGCTGAAATAAACGATAAGTATCGAAACATGGCGATATAGACAAGCCAATATTTCAGTTTGGGTTTGTACAATAACAGTTTTGCATAAAAAAATAAAAATAAATAATAAATAAAGGGACGCCACTCTTTTCTCTCCCCCCCCCCCTTTTTTTTGCACTTAACCACTAGACGACACCTGTATTACTTATAACCACTTACTATTATTATATAACAGTTTTAAGAAAACCTGAGGTATAACCGGACAAAAGATTTGGCGAAAAAAGCACTTCAACATTCGCTTCAACATTCGCTCAATGATTTCCAAAGCATCAGATTGATTGCAGTAATGACAGAGGTTTATTTCATCCTAAAAACTAATCATAAAAATGTTATTACATTATCAGGAAAACTGCTCTTTTTGCGTTTTATCGATATAACATATCTGTTTTCATTAATCAAACCCTAAACATCACCAATTTAAAACATAGTGACTGTACATACAGCTCAGAATACAAAGGTCAAAGAGGAAAGTGGAAAAATTCTATGTGAAAAGTAAACACAGAAACAGCATAAATTACCATTAAAATTGCATGTGAAAATCTAATGATAATCAATATCCTACATATTTCAATACAATGCTTCTGTCATTGTTTGATATATGTAGTCTAGTAGGTAAATTTGTCCTCACGAATTAATTCGTTCTCAAGCATTTATTGGTGTTATTATACATATATTGTAACAAGAGAATATTTTTCATGGCCGTTGATGCCATCCATTGAACGTTGAAGTCTCATTACCATCGATAAACTTTGGTCTTTATACCACAATACAATGAAATAAGATCTTTGGGTTACCTGCTTTCATTGTTAAAACATATGTATTGATTGTCATAAAGGCACAAATCGATAGGATATTCTCTCTGGAAGACGATTATGAATGACGCTGATAAACACAGATGTATATGTATATAACGAAGCGTTATATGATGTGCTTAGCATTAACTCGAGCCAAGGGTACGAATGCTGTCTGTAGTCCAAGAAACCAATCAATTGACATTATGGTTGTGTTTTAACAGTGGAAGTTACTGCAAACATAAAAATAGCAACAAGAACATACCAGCATGTCAGCATGATCATAATCGAAACTCAAATTCAATTAAACTAGGGTAAAACATGAACAGCAGAAAGAGTTGCAAGGAGACTTATTAAGGAGGAAAAGACCAACATGATATGTGCCCCATGTACACTTCTTTTGTTAAAGCACTATTAAAACAACAGCGCGAATGAAATTTGAATAAAAAATCGAATTCTATAATCAATTATTCTTCTGAGTGAATCATTGAGTTTGTAGTCAATTGATTAACGTTATCTTTGATATATGTATCGAGGTCAATGTGACAATCAAATTAAGGTAATTACAGTGCTGTTCGCCCAGGCGATAAAGCAAAATACACCAGATAAAACATTAAAATGACTTAACGACATCCCCAGCGGGACACAAGAACAAACAGACAAAAATACTTAATATAATAATGCACTTTCATGCAGATTAGCTTTGGACGCATTGTCCAGGATAATTTACAAGGACAGAACCTAATGGTTATTTAAAGCTATTTCAACAAGTTCAGATTTGTTCTGTAATTGATTTGGTTAAATGTGCAAATGTAAATATTTCTAATATCAAAATACAACTGGCTAATATATTGTGAATTAATCAATGTATTTACATTTTATGTAACTATATCTTCATTACGGCAGCTGTGCTGCTTGATTTAACAACGTATTTTGTATTTTTTACAAACTTGATTCTACTGTTGTGTGAAGTCCTTGAATGTAATGATCAAAGAATGAATTAATATGTACATTAATACCTTGTAAAATGTAAGCATCTATGTTGTTTAAATGAACTGTCAAATACGACCAAACGCATTACATTGGATACGACATGCAAGACGCCGATATTACATGTAATTAGAAACAAACTTAGTTTTAAGATTGAAAGATGTTTTGTAATAAATGAGGACAGAATAATACGAAACTAATTGTAGAAAACTTGAACCAGCATAAAAAAGTAACACTGTTGAGAGAGATAACTGGAGAACAAAGTCTATCGATTCATACGACTTTTGATGTTGTGTAAATTGTATGTACATGATTGTAACGCAAATGTCCCCAGGGGTGTAGGGGATAACTATCACCAGTTACTGTGTCTTTACATCTGGAATGTTTGCATTGAAACTATTTAAATGTTTGATATATATATATATAACAAACAGATATATATGGTAATAATATATCTTCACCGTCTACATTTTTTTCCGATATATAATCGAATTTTTATTATACGAAAATGTCAATCGATACTTCCTTCATACAGTTGTATGAATCCTTATACAAAGCTTTATTTCAGCAAACGGGTGTGCCATAAACTATAAATGATTTTATATTAAAAAAACGTATATATATAGATATACATAAATATACTAATCGTAATATTTATGAAATTTATAATACAAATTGGCTAATAAATCTATGGATCTGTAATGAAAATATTACATCGATGCCCTTAACATTATTAGACAAGCAAGTTGATTGATCTATAAAGTTGTCTAACGTGATTAATTTTTCATACTGTCAATATTACCAAAATGGCGTGGATATACCGAAAAATTATTTGTTCCATGTTTCAAGTTCTCTTGCTGTTACCTAAAGTTAGATAAAAAATGATTTTATTTAAATGTCAATAAAGAAAAAGGATTCTCGTTAGAGTAGTGTTAATCTGCATGCACTCAGTACCCAGCGATTGATTGCCTGTGATATCGGATTACAGGCAATGGGTGATGTTTAAAGGCGTTATATATGGACACTGTCACTATCGAGAACATGACATTACGTTCATACGCATATGAATCAGAATATCAAGAATGTCCACTGACATTTTATATCTAATGAAAATCGATTAATGGTAGATAATTAAAGCCAGTTCTCAATTTATAGAGACAACAGAAATTTTACTCTGATCTTTCAAAAATAATGAAATTGGATGCGTTTGATGCTCGTTACAGTGCCTAAAGGATCCGTTGTTGCTTACTGTATAGCTTGTCTTTATCAGGAGTGAAAAAACCAATCAAACCATACATGTTTTCAACGAATTAAAATTTTGTGATCTTGGCTTAAACTGACATTTTTTACACACGTGTCAAATTATTTCACGGATTCAACTTTCGCGAAAAAAAAAAAGAAAATGTCACATTACTAAAATGGATTAACGAAGATTTACACGGCTGCAGTGATGAAGCAGAGAAGCTTGCCTTTCATTGATCTTTTTCAGGAGATTTCGTGTTAAATTTCTTTTGTGCTTATTTTGCCCAAGTTTTGACGAATAAGAGTTTGAATTAGGATTTTGTTGACATGTCGGTATTGTCTTTGTCGTGTCCGTATATCCTGACCAACACAAGTGCATGCGGCCATTCCAAATTAAACCGGCTATTTATGGACATGTCTCTTATGTCTCATAAGAATATTTAAATTGCTGAATACGTCTACAATAAAAATACCCAATGATATGTTTTATGTTAAATATGTCTGACATACAAACGAAAAGCATCTTTCAAAAAAAAAATTTGAATCAGATTATCAAAATTTTCATTGAACTATATCATACTGTTGTTTCATTTTACAAGGATTCGTCAGTGATGCTAATGGCCAAAGCTGTTAAATCCTAGGTGGCGACTTAGGAAAAGCATACTTGTTATGAAATTAATATCAAAAACCAATTAAAGCTACCCCCTACCCCCACCCCCCCCCCCCCCCCCCCCCCCCCCCAACAAAAAAAATTCAATAACTATATGGCAGAGAACTTTGTCTTTAAAAATGGCATCCGTTGTATTATATTGGCGAAAATAAGAAGTAAGTTTAGCATAAATGGTGTTTAAATAAGCTGAAAGCACTTGATCGATTCATCTGTGACTATAACATGATTATAGAGTAATATCAATGATTTGTATCAAATTTATTTGACAAGAACTGTATTTAACATGGTGTTAAAAAGATCACCTACCCTCCATTCTCTCGATAACGAGTTGAGAGACTTTATTATTCCTTCGTCCAAGATGTCTTCCGGTGTCGTCATTTTGAATGTCTTTGTGCTTCTTTGAACTCTTAATGCTTTACTGACTACAAAGTTTGTCTGGTCTGAATCGTAAAATGATTTTCCAAGATTTCACTGTACTCATATCCTGCAAAATGCAACAATCGAATGACTTCTTAAGAACATGAAATCACTAACTAAGTCTGAAACTAAGTAACTCCGATTCGTTACTCTGCTGCGATGTCCAGAGAGATTTACATTTATCTCGGACGTGCCTTTTGCTTGTTGCAGAGCCTCTAAAATCCTTTTGATTCTCTCAGGTCTATAACAATGCTTCGAAGCCTGGGGTTAATGTTCTTCAACGTTTACAAATTCACTAGCTTACTAAGAACATACCCTGTGTGTCTGTCTTACGTTTGTCCACTGATGGAGAATTGGTTATTCCAATATAGCTCACTACCGTACGGAGTACTGATACACAGTAAAGGGACCACACCTTTGGTTTGATTTACAGGTAATGCAAAGATTTGAATCAATAATTTATTCAAAATGTCCGCAAACACGTTTCAGTATATTGGGCATATCATTGCTTTGTTGATACTGTCCCAGCATTGGATGTCAAGCATTGTCACGTGCAAGACTCAGATTATCGATGTGAAACCAATCCATACCTACCATTATGGCAGACCAATCACCCGAGTTAATGTTGCTAGGCTATTTCAAATGAAATACGTTTACTGTACAATAACATTTTTTTCCTGAAGACAAACATATTGAGTTACATGCCAAACTTGCGAGAATAATCCTGGTTAGGGGTATATGCTACCGAAATAGGTTTATTCCTTATAAATTTGTCAACCTCATAGGTATGACAGAATGCACTAGCTGACCTGCTGCATACACATTGAACATAGTCACAATACGCCAGTGACATATCAATTAAGCAAATGCATTCTTCTTTCTTCTATATGTTGTTGCATATCTTAATCCTACAGATAATTTGAGTTTTCTTATACTATAAATATGTTACATGCAAACTGATTGTATCGAGTTTTACAAAAAGTATCGATTATCTTAGACCTTCAATTGAAAAGCTTTATCTTGATTCAGGCTTTCTGTACGTTTGATACCCATATGTCAATGATACGTTTTATTTACCAAAATACATATACAGTTCCGTTGTCGCCGATGAAAAATTTGAGAAAGAAATAGCCGTTCCCTACATTTTAGAAGTTTAAACCCTCCCCGGAGCTACATGTTAGATATTATAAAATCTCGTCCTTAAATGTAGCAAATCATTGTGAGACATCAAAATATTTATGATGTAAACACCAAAACCTTTTTTTCAAAAACCTACAAAATTGATCCAATCGGCATGAATTCCGTAATCTTTGATCGCTCACAATTCCATTATGAAATGTGTACTCTTCCTTGTTTACAACATAAAGTCAATCATCTGGAAATTTGTGGTTGTCATAATTTATCTTGTGCAATTGAAAAATGGTATTCCCAGAGGCTTCGGTATGTCACTTATGTTGTTATATATTACCAACTAATGTGTTCATAGACCCATGAAAGTACAATCTAAATCAATAAGCATGTTGACAGAGAGATATACATGTGCCACATATCAACGGCATACATGAATAATATCCATTGACTTCATGGCTGCTTCATGGTCGATTTTAAATCCAGTGATATGTGACATAATGTTTTACGATGTTTCCTATAGTAGGTCGGTGTGCAGTAAATTTCAGTATATTTCAATAAATGAAGGTCAGAAGTGATTTGATTTTATTTTATCTTGGCAATAGACAATTTGAGAGTTTTGTGTTATGTTGTGTTATCATCACAGGCATTTATTTTCTAACTGAAATAAGACACTTTTATGTAATCAACATATTGCATTTAAATAAACAATATATATGTATATGTAATATGTATCTCCTCTTCAGCATGCCTGGTGGTTCCGTTGGATTGTCCAAAAGTGACCAGAAGGGTGTCTTCGATGAAGAGGCAGATGATTATGCCTCCCGAACATCCGGTATTATTCTAGTTGTAATTTTCTCTAGTTTCCTAATAAATCTTATCTCCTGTTCTGAATTTGCCATAGTTTCATGGAACTTGTATTTGATTGAAGATCCTGGCAACATATCGGTATTTCTCTTGTTTATATATATGATTTATCGAAATAGATATTGTTCTCTATGACCCCAAAAGAACTGTGTTAGGTATCAGCATAAACTAACTGAGCTCTCTCATCATAATTGTATTCTGTATAAATCGATTTGTACTCACGTGGATGATGACTCGTTACGCCAAAGGCTAAGTTTTGATTATGCAGATGTTTCCAAAGTACGTGACATTAAACCTTGATGTTAATTTTCTTGTAAATTAGTTTTCTCTCTTCACAATGACATTAAAGATCGTTTTTATCCCAGCAAAATTTTCGATCCTAGCTATTAACAGTGTTAATTTCCAGTCAAGACAACTGTTATGTCGACCGTTGTATTCATATGTAATTAAATATGATTGATTTCGTCGGAAAAAACACAACAGCAATAACCGGTTCTGTCACAACGAACCGGAATGAAAAAGACAGGTTATATTAATGGATTGTATGATCTCTATTTTGTTATTACATCCATGTCATTGTTCGCTTATATCTACCACTTTGGTAATGAAGTGGGGTATGTGTTCAGAATTTATCGTATGTCACTTATCTAATGATGTCGTAAGTGTTAGTGAATAAATCGACATCGCGTTATATCCACGTACGAAGGTTAGTATTTGGTATGAAGAGAACCGGATGAATGACAATAATTGAAAACATAATTGACATGTGTTGCCTTGGTGGAAGAAAATATTATCTCATTGCATGGTTGTCATGAGCAGTTTACAATTTTCTTATCTTTTTTGTCATATGGTTTCAGATGGCAAAATGTTCGATTTTCGTATTCCCAATCGAGGTCGTTTTTGGCTCTATCCCACAGCCGAAACAAAGCAATGGTCTTTGGCAACCGTCATATGCAGCTGCCAGTTAAGTCTGCTCAGGTGCATTGTCATGCTTCCGTGTCCGAAGACAGTGTGATAACACTATGAGACTTGTTTTGAGTGGCCGCAACATGAGAAAGATCAGTGCTAAAATACTCAATCAACTGAGGGCATATTCCTTTGTGTACCATTTACCTCGCTATATCTGGATATGACTGATTGATATGATTTATTTCTTGTATCTATTCAGCTTACAGGAGGTATATACTCCATTTAGTAAACTTCATACAATGCTGTTTGTAGATATTAACAGTGTTAATGAAACGTACTTATTTACGATGTCTAACATCCACTTCAAACGACTTTTTTTTAAATACACCCAAAACTAGAAAGTCTAGACTGGTATATTGTGATCTTTCTCTTATATAACAGATGGCAAATATAGGCTCGTGCGATGTCTATTGCACCAATCGAAATTATAGCAAAGAGAAAACATTCATCTATTGCTTGAAGGTTATATTATACATATAAATTTCATCTATTTTACAACAGTTGTGAAACAAGTTATTACAACTTAAACTAATCACTCTTGTTGGCCCGGATGTGGAGACTCGAGGGATCTTATTGTGGGAGGAAACTGGAATACCCGGAAAAGCCCCCGTGGTCAGGCAGGTGACCCTTTACCTTTTTATGTCCGTTCGGGAGCCGTTCTCTGGCTAGGAGAAGGGAGTATGTTACTCCTGCGCCACCCCTGTCAGCGAGTTCAGGTAAAAAACAATTTGCAGTTAGTTATTTTTAACAAGTTTTTAATAAATGATGAAGTATGATAATAAAAATTAATAAAAAAAAAGAAAAAGAAAAAACAAAAAAGACAAAACAAAACAAACAATATGTATTCATGAAACACTAGTCCCCAGGTTGCAACAAAATTCTGATTTTTTTTAAACCTTCAGATGTAGATCAAATGTCACGATCAATATTACATTGTCAAAAAGTCTTGTCACAAGGAACACACATGCTAAATTTTTCAAATGTAGGTCAAAGGTCACGGTCACATGGTGTAAAAAAATGTTGAAAATACCTAAAAGGTCTTGTCACAAGGAATACACACGCCAAATATGCAATAGTTATGGACAAGGTTAAAGTTGACCGGAGCAAACAGACAACACATAAACGATATGCCCCATTCTTTCGATCTGGCGGTATGAAAATGAGAAAAAAATTTGAAGATTTTATTATAAGATATCATAGAAGCTTTTAACATATGTGATCCTGCGTATCTACATTCTATTCTTTCGAAGATAATACCATAAGTTTATTTTAATATTAGTACGATACCACTGCATTATTGACTGAATCGTTACTTTAAAAAATAGCATGACCAGAGACGTATATATATATGTGTGTGTGTGTGTTTGTGTGTGCGTGTCTGACAACACCCACTTAAATTAGTATCAGATTGCATAGATACATGAGAATAACTTTTGTCACTAGATCGTAGAGTTCATCATTGTCATTGCAAACAAAGGCTCTGATGAGTACCCGCGGCGATTAAAAACCAGGACATTTTTAAAATTAATATTCAGGCATGCCGGATGAATGCACACATTCTCAAACTACAAGTGTCCTTGACCGTGTCATATTTACGCGTTAAACCTTTTTTTTCCAAAAAAAAAAAAAAAAAAAAACGATACTAAGTTTTGGATACAACCTACATATACTTGTAATAGTATTTAGCTTAATCATATCCATTACAGTCCAGCAATTTCGCAATACATAAGGAGTACATGGATAGTATGGGTAGCTAGGGGGTAGTTTCGTACAACTAGGTAGATAAGGGGGTGAGGTCTGTACGGTTTCTTGTCTGTATTTACACCTGTATTATTGTCGCTGTTTACTGTGTGATCTTGTAACCTCTTTTTTACTGTAACTAGGCATTTCTTTCCTCTTTAGAACGGTTCAAGTACTAATTAAACCTGCGAAGTTAGTCCGTGCTCTTGTGATTGGTACTTTGCTAATTTCGATATCATCGATCTCAAGTGTTTCTT